AGGGGTGGCAAAATGTATGGATTGGATTGTTAATAGATGAATTAAAATAATTCATTAGTACATTAACAACCACTAAAATTTTCTTAAAGTTATCCAATCTAATCCACCTGTTAAGAATAAAATTCATTCAATCTATCCATTAACATATTTTTAATTGATGGATATCCATCCATCCAATATTTTTTTTATTTTGAAAAAGCAAACGTATTTTTTTATTATTTTATTTCCGAATAATTCATTTTTTGTTTTTTTTTGTTTTTTAATATATTCATGAAAAAATTGAATTTTTTGTTTAAAAAACCATATTTTGTATTTTTAAGAAAAAAATGATATTTTAATTGAATTAATTCATGCATATAAATGGATGGATTTAATCAAATCCATTAACTTACTGTTTATGTGGTGGATGGATTGGATGAATTTTGCATTAATGGATCCAATTGCCACCTCTAGTCTTTTCTCAATCATTAATCATTCACAATCATTCACTCTCTCTCAATCTCACCATAGATTCCTTATCACAGATCTCTCACCTCACACTCTGTCAATCTCACCGCACATTCATCACCTCATAATCATCTCTCAATCTCACTTTACATTCATCTCTCAATCTCACAACGACTGCATAAACAACAAGAATAACACAACTGAACCTACATACCAAAGAAATATTGTAGAAGAGAAAGGAGAAGAATTCGCTGCAAGAAAAACCAGAATTCAAATTGCATACCTGAGTATTTTCGCTCTGTCTTCATCATCTTTGTTGCAACAATTACCGGGACAATCTACAACCTCGAAGGTAGGCTTGATCTCTTCGCTTCTTGCTTAAATCCGCTTGACACGATGTAGCACAACGTCTAAGGAGCCAAGCCCTAGGGTTTGGACTCCGAATATCATAATTTATTTGTTTAGCTTTTGGTTTCCTTTCTAGGGTTCTTGTGTTCTTTGTTTTGATTTGGAGTTTAGGACAAGTTTTGGTTTAATTGGATTCGAGATTGGAAGAAAGGATGTGGAGACATTTTTTTTTATGAACATTTGAGGTCAATGGAAGCTCCACGCCGCCAGAGGCGATTCCCTGCGCGACGGAGGAGTTGGCTAGAAATCTCTTGAGATAGGGGAAGGTTCGAAGGGAGAATACGTTGAATACTATATTATGGTGTTACTCTTTTCATTTTCTGTGCCCTCACATATGGGCTTAGGGTCCTTAGGCCCATTGTTGTTTAGTGATGCACCCTACAACAAACGCCACGCCCCCTTCGGTGGCTCCATTGAGTGATACCTTGGGCTTTTGGCACAAAGCCCATGCAAAGATGCCACACACCTATGTTTTTCACGCACCCCTTAACATCTTTTTTTCTTTGTTTTTTTGTTATCTTTCATTTTTAAAATTTTTACTTGTTTTTGTTTAATATCCCTTTTTTTTAATATCTTTGATCATATTAATTCCTTTTTTACATTTTATCACTTTTTTTCACATTGATGTTTAATATGGAAAATACCTTAGAAAATCATGATACACTTATATTTTAAGATTTAACGGTTTTCCATTTAATCAATACTTTGAAAAAATAAATAAGAATTATGCATATTAGTTAGAAAATAATCAGTAGTCTTTTAGGTTAATTTTCAACTTAGAATTTTTAGAAATAGTACACATCTTCATTTTAATTCTAGATTAATTTTTAGAAATTAATAGGCATAAGAATCCATGTTAGGTTTTAGCCTTAAGAATCCATGTGCATACGCTGATCTTATCCTTAATTGAATGATTGATCAAAGTTATCATTGATAAAGTAGTTCTTTGACACATGTCTAATTCCCCCATTCAATCAAGTGATCAAAAGTCTCTTGATCACTTGATAAGATTAGTCCTCTGTATTGACACTGCACTGGATCTCAACTCAAGTCAAGAAAGGCTTTGAAGACATTAGACATCAAGACTGAATCACTGTCCAAGCACAACAAAAACATTCTTCTTCAACACTTTCCAGTTATTATTAGAATTGTGCGCCACGAGCCTTAAGTAGTGGAGAAGGAATGAGAGGGAGTATTCATATCCTCATTCTGAATACCTTTGGATACGGGACACTTGACCCAATTGTTTCAAGTATTCACCTTCACTCATAAACTTTAGTGCAATTTAAATCAAATAATTAACAAGTCCTATTCCCCACAGGCACTCTGCACACAGACTGAACATCAAGGCAATGACCATTTTTGGACTCCATCCTTTTCCCTTTTCTCTGTTCATTTAAAATCAAAATCATTTTTGTGAATAAATCCAAAAACACTTGAAAATACAATGCAAATTATGTGCCACAAATCTTAAGTAGTTGAGAAGGAATGAGAGGGATATATGTGTACCCTTGTTCTGAATATCTTTGGATACGGGACGCTTGACCCAGTTGTCCAAAGCATTCACCTCCATTCATAGACTTTAGTGCAATTTAAATCGAGACAATCTTTTCAAAGTATTCACCTACCATCAACCTCAATTTTCCGCCTTAGGGCATTCAAATATTTTCAAAGGACATATTATTTTCGTTCTACCACAAACAAACAACGCTTAAGTCCCTCATGCACGAGCATACATACAACGTTTAACTGCTAGAATGTGAACGTTAACACTGTCCACTAAAAATAATTAACAAACACTCATTTTCTACCCCGAACTACGAAGCTCTGATTTCTTTATTGCACTATGAAGATATATAGGTACGAGGGTACAAATCCTTGGAGAGCACACTAATTTAAAACCCTTTTCCCCAATTGCGAGTAACCCTTAGATAGTAACATCCATCCGCGTAAGAACAATCAAAACGGTCCACGTCGAGTACAACAAATGTGAGGGATGTTAATACCTTCCCCTTGCATAACCGACTTCCCAACCCGAATTTGGTTGTGACGACCATTTTCTCCACCTTTAGGGGCTTTATCGATATTTTCTCTTTCCTTTGGAATAAATAAATTTCGGTGACGACTCTGTATTTTTTGCATAACGAAAATTATGCAACCATAATTTTTGTGATCAACAAGAAAATCATAATCCAATACAAAAACAAGGGAATAACTAAAAACTTGATTTTCCTTTATATATTATCATCTATATTCTTTTCCAAAGTATCATTCTTCTTCAAATCATTAACTATATTCAATAATGAATTAATGACCTCATTTGAACGTTATGTCATTTGCTCATCAAAATCGGTCAAAAAATGCATATCCTTTCCTTCCTTGTAACTAAGTAACACAAATAATAATGAATAGTTTTCTATAGATCAGTCATTTAGAAAATAATATGATATATACCAAAAGTAAAAAAAATGGATTTTGAAATACCTTGTATAACACACGACTGTAGAATCTGCAACCTAGATTCAGAGATGTCCAGGCAGGGACAAGTGGTGAATCCAACCTACAATATTAACATTGCATCATTCTTCTCTTAAAATGAGAGAGATTACTTGAGATGAGAAATGATTCAGATGCTATAAAAACAAGTTAGGAAGAAGACTAATTGACGAATTCGAATTACGAAGAATAAGAAGAAGGCAAAATGGTAAAATTGAATTAAGAACTAGAAGATATAGTGAAAGCTGAAATTAGGAAAGAAAACCTTAAACACGATAATAAAGAAGATGATGTAAAATTTTCCTTTAAATAACCCAACTTTTAATAATATAAAATCATTGAACAATTAATTTTAATTATAAAAATAACTTGAAAAATAAAAACCAAAAAAAAAGTGACAACTCAATGTTTTCTGGACGAACATTAGAGATGGGGGACCAAAATTATTTAAAAACAAAATAGGACACTAATATCCTGAGTCGAGAAAAATAAGAGGACAAAACCGTTATTTAAGCTTCTTATTTTCAAAGTCATATATTGTATATTTATTATCATTATTATTTAAACAATTAAAATCCTATTCTGATTATTAATTATCTTTAATTCTTTTTTTACAAAAGTCAAAGAAAATACCACAAGTTATTAGTGTCAACAAAATACTTTTATATTTCATATATTAATCTAGAAGTTATGGAACAAATTATACTTGTATAACCCTTGAATAATATTATAGCATTCAATAATATTTTTTATCAGATATCAAAATTTATAATTAGATTAAATTATATATATATATATATATATATATATATATATATATATATATATATATATATATATATATATATATATATATATATATATATATATATATATATATATATATATATATATATATATATATATATATATATATATATATATATATATATATATATATATATATATATATATATATATATATATATATATATATATATATATAACCATTTGATATGATTAAGGTGTATCGAATTTCAAAATTTTTTAACCGAGTTCAAAGCATTTTTAACTCCCCATATTATTAAAAAAAATAATCAAAATTAAAATCTTAAATGATTTTATATAGTGACAATATTAATACATCTCAATTACATATGTTAAATTATTTAAATATTTTAGTAAATTTTTTACTTAAATAATAATTATATATCATAAATTTTGAATCTAACAATGAATTTCATAAAATAAATATTTGACTAAAAAATATTAAATAAAGTAACTCAATAAGTAAAATAACTCAATAGTTACATAATTTAATTCCTCATCATGCTATGATCCTTTCAACTTAGCCCTAAAATTATGTTTCATTAAAAAACAATTCAGTATTTATTGAAAAATTTTGATGCTTTATTACAAAATTCCCATGCCGATTTTTGACAATTGATGAATTATTACACAAAGACCACAATAATTGATCTATCTGATAACTAAAACTATTAATATTAGTAAAGAAAACATAGATTTTATTCATTCATTAAACAAAATACATTAAGATGCAGAAGAAAATAAGCAAATGCAACAAAAGATAAATCAAACAACAAAGTAATCATGAAAACATGATGTCACAATACGTGCCTAATGTATTTTGTTTAGATAGACACAAAATCTTAAAGTTTGAGATCCAAGTCGAGTTCCTCCAATATTGATTCAGTTGTTGATGAAGAAGATACATTGGCCTCTGCTAGAAGTTGGCTTCCTCTAATAAAGTCATGAGTTTTCATTGGAAGATCATGAGAAAGAAATTTAGCATCTGAGTTTCTTTCTGCACTCTCACCAAATGGAGAAGTTTGATTAACTTGACTAGAAAGTTTCAATTTTATGGTGTTTGGCCTTTGAAGAATTGGCAGTGCAAGAGTTTGATTTCTACCCAAGAAATTAGTCATTTCTAGGTATGGTGGTGTGAGTGGTGGCTTTGGAACTTGCATAAAAACTGGAGGTGGCGAGGAAGGTGTATTTGACATATACATCCCTCCATAACCACCAGACGGAGAACCATGCAAATAAGGCATGACATTGTTCATTTGAGTGCCAATTGAATGTTGCAAGCAGTCGGGGAAATAATGATATCCTTGATAGTGAATAGGTCTATGATTTATGGTGGAATCCATTTCTTCCTCTTTTCTTTTTTGCTCAATTTTCTTGAGATTGCGTTCACGCTTATGGGCGTTTTGATGTCCCCCAAAAGCTTGTGCATTTGAAAATTTCTTGTTACAAAAAAGACAAAGAAATTCTTTCACTTCCTGTTTAGGTAAAAGTTCAGCAATAATATTTTGTGATAAACTTGAATGTTCATCTTTCTCTAAGAGATTGGAAGTTGGCTTAGTATTACTCCCAAGTTTTAGAGTAAAAGAATCTTTAGACTGAATGAATGATGTTATTACCTTAGGTTCTTTATTCCCTTTTGACTCTGCCACTTCTACCATTTTGCCTTTTTCAAAATTAGCTTCAGAGAATGTCATTACATTCTTTGATTCCTTCTTTGGTGATGTCTCTGATTCTTCAATCATTTTGCACTTTAACATTTTATCTTCAGAATTTTTGATAGAAATTCTTTCAGACATTTTTTCAGAAACGTCAAATAAAATATTTTAAATTTTTTAGTGAGTAGACAAGTTTGTTTGGTTTGATAATTGCTAGTGAGGAGTATTTATCCTTAAATAAACTACCTTGAATGTTTATAAAAAAATATTAAAACAACTTATTCAATGGTCAACAAAAAAAAAAAAAGAAAACTTTTAAGGAAAATACATTATTTATTAATGTACTCCTAAATTAAATATGAATTAGAATGTTATAATTTTAATTATTTTTTAATGTCTCTCACATATTTTTATCCTTATTCTAAAACTAGCTGTTAAGTTTTTTTTTTTTCTTTGGTACATATAATCATGAATGTTAAATATGAATATTTTAATAAGGTCTTATCTCATTAAATAGTTTTATGTTTTTACTAAGATTTCAGTTTGACTTTCTATTTGAGAAAGTTGAATTGAATTCAAATTCAAATTACACAATTTAAAGAAAAACTTGTATTCTAACTTAATTTAAATTTTAAAATAGACACATTTTTTCAATCAAATTAAACATTTATATATTAAAATGTTTGTTGAATTGACCAAATCTACATTTGCCTATCTATTATTTTGTATAAAAAATTATATTACAACAACTAATATTCAATTATTTTTATTTAAAGTTAAAATAATAATGATCAAATTTGAGAATATGATAAAGATAACTTAGTAGATATGGACGGAGATAATAAATAGAGTAATAGATAGGTTAAGAGTCTGATCCTTAAAGTGTCTTTGAAATATTAATTAGTACTTCTCATATTATTATACCCCATTAAGTATCCTTAAATTAGTGTAATTTTTTTTCACAGAACTAACCATTAAATTTTTATTTTATTTATTTTTTGTTTATTTAAAAATATTAAATTAAATTAATTATTTTTAATATTAAATAAAATTAATATTTGAAAAATTATTTATTTATTAATATCCCGTAGCGAGAATAATTGAGTGAAGAGAATATATATATATATATATATATATATATATATATATATATATATATATATATATATATAATTTTTAATTTATTTAAAATTATATTTACATTTTAAAACATTTAATTTAAAATAAAAAAAGGAAAACAAAGTAATAGAAAGACATTACGACCATTCCGTCAATAAATATTTAAGAATAAATTATTGAGATAAAATTTGAAGTCCCATCACCAGTAATCCCATGTCTCCTTCAAACAAACAAAAAAGTAAAATCTATTATTATCAAATGCTTAATATTGTCCATTATATTGTTTTTTAATTTATGTTTTAAAATTAAAAACAAAATAGAGAGAATAAAAGTTAAGAGCTTAGGTCACCCTAATTAAGTGTTTTCAATTTTTTGGTTTTCTTGATTCCTCTATTTTAAAACGTATAAAAATGTTAATCTTTCTCATATAATATGTCGAACTAATACAATAGCGTCAAGTCGGCTATATAAAATTACTATATTTTTTAAAATTTTTTATTTAAATTAAGTTAGCTTTTAATTTTTTTATTCATCTATTTTAAAACACATAAATATATCCCTCTTCATTTTTTCACATGTGACATCCTCATCTAATAAATGGAACTAATAGCATGACGCCAAGTCAGCTTTATAATATTATTATATTTTTAAATATTTTTGAGATTAAATTAGTTTTTAATTTTTTAATTCCTCTATTTTATAATGTATAAATATGTTAAACTCTCTTTATTTTTGCACATGTGAAATCCACATTTAATATGTAGAACTAACACGTGGCGTCAAGTCAGCTTTATATATATATATATATATATATATATATATATATATATATATATATATATATATATATATATATATATATATATATATATATATATATATATATATATATATATATATATATATATATATATATATATATATATATATATATATATATATATATATATTATTTTCAAATTAAATTAATTTTTAATTTATTTATTCTTATATTTTAAAACGCATAAATATGTTACTCTCTCTTCATTTTTGAATATGTGACATGCTTATCTAATAAGTTGAACTAACACCATAGCGCCGGGACATCTTTATAATATTATTATATATTTTTTTAAATTAAATTAATTTTTAATTTTTGGATTTCTCTATTTTTAAACACATAAATATGTTAGTCCCTCTTTATTTTTGCACATATGACATCCTTATCTAACATGCCGAATTAACACAATGGTGCCAAGTCAGCTTTATAATATTATTATATATTTTTAATTTTTTTCAAAATAAATTAATATTTAGTAATTTTAATTATGTTTTCTTTGAAATAATTTTTTTTAGAACTTTAAAATAAAAGTTTTGGACCTAAGTCCCTTTTATCTTGTCAATCTACTTAAGACACGACGAGTATATGTGCATGTGAGCTTTATACACACTAAAATCATTTATAATAAAATCGACGTGGGACTTCAAACATTGGGAAAATAAAAACCAAATCATATTTAAAATCAATAAAAAGCAGTAGTGACATAATACTCACATGTAAACTTCTATGATGTTGCAAACATGAAATTGAGATAAGGAGTTTCACACATTCTTCCTCAAGGAACTCAGATGTCACATATACGAAATCATTATAATTAGATAAAATTACATTGTGATTTAAAAAGTCATTTTCAAGCAAGGATCATACTTTTATACTAACTCAAGGAGAATAATAAAAAATGTTTCTTTCTATTATAGTGTTCTTAACAACATTTATTAAATTTGTCAAATTCATGTTTCATTTTGTCAATCATATCAATGTTATATAACTACCAAAAACAGTTATGAATTACATATCTTTGTCAAGTTATATTTTGGTAGTTGACATGCATTTGTTAAATTCATGTTTATAACCTCAATGTTATAACTACTAAATACATTTGCGAAGTTATATAACATTTTATTGCTCAATCACATCGATGTTATATAACCTAAGAAAAAACAAGATCAAAGAAGACTATGATATCTGTCATTTTGTTTTGTTTTACACTATGGTGATGTAACTCACAAAGTTGCAACACTAGTGTTATATTCAAATATGGTGATGTAGCTCACAAAGTTGCAACACCACTACAGATTCATTTTTTTGCATAATTATACATAGACTTGATTTGTAAAATTCCATTCACGTATGTTAGAATAAATATGCAATAGATTAAATAAACAAGGATCATAGGCAAGCCAAAATCACACATGGCAGTTTTGAGTTTCTCAAACTATTCATAGTGATACATTTAGAACACAAGAAAAGGTGTGTCATGGAAGAACCTGTTTGCACTATGTTGCTTACTATTGAATTTTTTTTAATGTTTTATCCAAACACACTTTGGATGTCAAGTTACATAGAACAAAAAGGCAAGTCAAATGTAGCACTACAAAAAACATTTTTAGTAACAATATATTACTACGACTACTTAATCAACTGATGTAATATATGTTTATTAGGTTCGTAAGAAGTGGTGTTAGCCTTAACCGATTGTATTAAAAAATTTGGTGTTGGAGGTTCGAATGGAAGATCTGCATTTATTTGAAAGCATTCATGCATCATATATATCAGAGTTATGTTAGAACTTCAGCCTGGTATTTAGGATTTCATATCAGTGTTTAAGACTTTGGTCCGGTGTTTAGGAATCCAGTCCGGTGTTTTAGGTTTTCAGTAAAATAACTCTGAAATCTGGTGACGGTACCACACGCATGAGAGTGTATGAGATGCGCATTTCATATTTAATCTTGTTTGTGTTTTGAAATTCATGTAACTTTTATGGACTGTAAATGATGTATAGTGTATTATCCTTGTTGATTTTACACCATTTAATTATAGAATGTATTCCCACCCCTTCCTTGTTCCCATGTTATGTAAATGTATGCCTATGCATGTGATTCTCAGATCGAGACTAAGAAATGATAGTTGCTGATTATTTATGGAGGAAGGCATATATGGCATCTTCAATTACTTTTCTTTCTAATTTATGTTTTGTTGGACCTTAAGTCGGCTAGTAGTTTCATTATCAATAGTAGCTCTGATATAGTAATATCGGGCTGGAATCTTTTACCATTTTCTCTACTTTGACTTAAACTGAATTATTATGTCTTATTGTTCATTTTGGATTTGACTCACTATTTTAAATTAATAAAGGTTGAATATTTTGTTATGTGATGCCCTTATCGCATTCTATTTTATTTCACAAGGTTTTGTAAATAAAAGGAATTTTCCTATGGTGGGTTTAAGGCGTTACAGAGTTGTAATTAGAGTAGTTAATGCATCCGGCATAAAGTGTTAAGAGTTTACTATACCCTGGTGTGTGACATGTGTGATAACACTGTCGGTACCTTATTTCCTTAAGCGTTATTTGCTTTACTATTTACAACAAGTTTATGTTTAGGTTGTGCAGGAAAAAATGACAGATGTTATGGTTCAATCTACTCAATTTTTTCTAGGTGCTTAGTATTGGATTCAAGAGATTGAGAAAATTTTAAGAGTAATGATGAAGGGAAAAAGAGATTCTAAACGTAGTGGAAAACAAAATTTTTCCTTTTAGTTAATCCTTATGAATGATGCATGATAAGTGATAGAACAATTATCACTTGTGGTGATTAAAAATATTGACGCAAATCCAAATAAATGATCACAAGTGATGATGATGATGATCAACGCCTTTACTCAGTTTACATGAACAAAGTGCCTTCAATCTAACTGCTAGCTGCAACAATGAAGATTGTGTGTGTATGTGTGTGTAAGAGAGAGAGAGAGAGAGAGAGAGAGAGAGAGAGAGAGAGAGAGAGAAAGAGAGAGAGAGAGAGATTACATAGAGGTTTCAAAAACCTAATTTCATCAAGTGTTTTAACTTCTACATAATGGCTCTATTTATAAAACCACTTGTGTGGGAAGTAAGCTGAAAAAGGCACACTTAAGTGCACATATAATAATAATATTATATTATTATTATTATTATAACTATTATTATAGCAATGAATATAATAAT